GGGATCATCGTTATCACCATTTTTGGCCGATGTTGCACTTAGTGAATTTCTCTTAGAAAAATGGAACCAGGAAAAATATCCGTATGTTGGATTAGCACGATATGTGGATGATATATTATTAAGGGTATCCACCCCCCCTCTTTTTCTGCAAAAAAATTGTCATTTTGAGCTGAACATAGTCTAATGTAGAGGAAAGTCGGGGCTATAAAATGAGACCACTTCCAGCTCTCCATAGCCTTCCTTGAAAAAATTCCATCTAAGTGCGTTTTAAATACTGAATAAAATTGGGAAGCGTCTAAACTATCTTCAGTTTTTTAAAAAACAAGATACGTCCGAACACACTTTTCTTCCTTGAGATAAAAAGAAGCTCGTTTAGAAGCGCCGTTGAGGCCATCTTGATTCGAAAAACACGTTCGGGCACGACGTTTTCTGAAAAATTAAAGAAAAATGCGTTTGTTTCTATCAAAAACTTTTCCAGTGAGTCAAGAATTGAAAAGAAACTCATAGTAACACACTAGGGTAAAAAAGGAAGTTCGGAATAATAATGAAAAAAATACAAAACCCATGTCGTTACACTCGAATGTGCAAGCACGACATACGGTGAAAGGTCAAAGCACTGATTAAAACAAAGCTTTCACACGTACCACACGCACTGTTATTCATAATGAATTTTTGTACACGGTTATTGCCTCGATCAGCGACATAGAGATCTCCGTTTTATCGAACTTTATTCCCACTGGATCCGAGAGTTGGTTTGAATCATGCTCGTCAACATCAGTACCAGCCACGATTAATCCAGAGTGTGCGCCAGCAGCGAATTTCATTATACAATTCTTTCTGAAATCCGGGACATAAATATTGCCACAGCTATCGATAACAACTGACATTGGGCTAACTAGCTCATCTAAATTTGAGCCTGCTCCATGCTGACCAATAATTGTTGTTCCATGTGACGATCCTTTAGGCCATAACTGAATTCGAGAGCTTCAGGTATCAGCTATCCAGCTATTGCCTGCTCGATCGACAAAAATGCCAAGAGGATGATATAATTGATCATTGCCGTGACCTTGAACTCCAGTGCCAGCTATCAGATTTCCTGTAGTGGAATGAGGAGGCCATAACATTATATGATGATTGAAAGCAGAAATTTGATTATAATCACTAGCAGGGCCATTACCTCCAGCAATTGTCGTTATCGTTTGATTTGATAACGACAACTTTCCCACGTTCCCATCATCTTCATCACAGTAATACAGTAATTTTCCACTATCATCCAAATATAGAGCCGTTATTGTACCATTACTCACCATCAGAAATTGACCATTTGATGACCCCGGAGTCCAAAATTGTGTTCTATTGTCGAAAGCATCTGTCACGTAGACATTCAACTGGCTATCAATGGCCACATCCCACCGCATATTAAGACGACCAGAATTTGCGCCTAGTACGCCATCACCAGCCACCGTCACTCCGACTGGATGATTCCACACAAACGACGACGTTATTGACACTTGCGCTACGATAAACCATTGTATATTATTAGTAACGGACTACTAGGTAACCTCAGATCCACATTCCTGAAGGATACCACGGTTCGTCAATTAATTAAAATTCTACTCTTCGAATAAACTTTGCCAGTTTCCGTGGCACAGACAATAACAGAAAAGCCACAAATCGATGATTGCAACAGTTTTCTTTCACGAAACTAGGGAAATAGCTCCACTAATAACAAATGGGTTTCCTCGGTCGAAATGACAAAGCGGGTTTTATCGACCAGAGCCACGTCGCAGTTACACCATCCAATTTACGCTCTGGTGAATGCGATCAATGATTCATCCTCATTGCTCCAGCTTCGTTGCGCTACCAAAGTACAAGACACGTCAAAAAGATCTAATGCTGCTTTAGAGAAACTCCAGTTGCTATACGTGGTGTACTTTATGTGTCAAAACTTAAAACTATTCGTATATTCTCTGATACTAGGCGGTGCTAGTTTCCCCTACAATTCGATGGAACAATTTTTTGGCAGCAGATTCAAAAAACACCTTAAACATTTATCATGGAGTTGAACTAGTATTCAACTAGTATACAGAAAGAAAATCACTTTGTCGTCAGATCTGATATTACCTGTTGTCGCTGAAATTGTTGCAGTCGTCGTGACAGGAGTGACAGCAGTCGTCGTCACTAAGCAAAAGAACAGAGATAGATAGAAAACAAATACTGAAGGCGAGAAAATGTATTATACAGTTGCACTCATAATAATCGTTTTCCGTTCAAACGTTCAGACAAGAGGCAAGTATTTCTTAAATTATAAATAAATAGTTTTTCTTCGTACTAACTTTATTTATTTCCAAACATTTCGCTTGATAGTTCAATCGTCCTCGATGGATCGAAACATTATATAATTTAGTTATTGTTTTCATCCACTGAGGACGATTAAACTATCAAACCACTATGATTGCCGTCAGCTCTAGTGCCATCGAATGTGTGTGTAATTATAAGACAAGAGTCAACTGTGGTGTTGATTGCTTATTTCAGTTCGTCTGTTGTGTACATGCATCTACCACTCTAAGGCTAAAAGCACCGTTAACCCATCCAAAAAGCTTAATGACAAGGATGGACGTGTGAAAGTTAAGATCTCAGGTGGATCGATGGCTTAATAGAAAAACTGAAAATCAATTACGACTTAGCACCACGGTCAGTTTTTCGAAAAAATTAAAAGTGAAATTTGGGTTATTATCTTAATGTGTGTAATTATAAGACAAGAGTCAATTCTGGTGTAGATTGCTTATTTCAATTCCTCTGTTGTGTACATGCATCTCGATGTTTTTGTTTTTCCGATGAAAGAAGTGTGTTACTGGTTTCGCCAGATGTAAAAGTGAAAATAATGTTCTTTTCTTGGAGTTTACATGAGGAAACTTAAAGTTTGTCGCCAGTTTGTGTTGCAGTGCCCCGAGATTCAGATGGGAAAGCAGTCTGAGATAGTACTGTGTCAAGTTTTATTTTGTAGAATTCTTTTTAAATTGAGAAACATCTCAACTATTCGTTGCGCCGATTTTCGAAAAACTTGTGAAAGCCTGATTCAGGTGATGAAGTGAACGGCCAGTGTTCGTTCTGACGATGATGCGAAAACGTCACGATGTAAGTAAAATTTGCGCCTGGAATGAGCTGAGTTTTTGTAAGGAGTAGCATGCCGAGTCCAGGAAAGTTTTGATCGTGGAGGAAAATCCGGATAATTTCACAGGTTTATTATGAGCAGTGTTCTTATAGTTAAGGCCGTTGATCTAGCGCATTAATTTACCTTTTGTTGTCGCCATGTTTGCCACTTGTTCGATGATTTGGCTAGACTTATTGTTGGCAATCATAATTGCTTGTTCTACTACTGGTACACTTTCCTTCGCCAATATTTGGAAATTTTCATCGCTTATTGACTATTCATTTATTTCCTCGACGATTGGTACATGAATAGTGCTTTCGCCAGTCTGGTTTTACACGATACATATGGAGTTTAAGAGAAAGTCTGCGACAATATCAAGCACTTAGCTCACAAAGGATGGCATGCAAGAAATCATCCTACTTTATTTATATTATCTCACGAATAGAGTAGTCAGTTTTGGGCTTACGAAAGATCTTTTAGATCTTAATCCAAGAGGGTAAAAGCAGACTTTAGGTCGATTATAAACTTTCAAAATTCACCTCAATCCACGTAGGTTGCTAAAAGTCCAGGAATTGGCAGATACTTTTATAGATCTGCGTTGGCCTGCGAAGCCTTTTAAGGACATTCATCGATTTAGGTGGAGTTTTGTGGCCTTCATATGCTTTAATACACTCGTAAACGTCTATTGAACTAAGGACCTTAGGGTTTTGTAGACTTTAAGAGTCAATATAAGTCCATTAAAATCCGTAGTCGTCCAAAAATCCATAGTCTGGTTTTCCCCTCCTTGTTTGAATCTCTTAAAATGATTGAATTCGAGAGATTTTCTTTTAAGGTCGAAATAATTTTTCGTAAGCCAACTGAATGCTTTATCCGATGAGATCATAAATAAGATAGGGTGATTTTTTGCATGTTACTGCCTGGAAATAAAATGCTCGATACTCTCGCAGGCTATCTCATAAAATTTTATTTACATTCTTATCGCCTGTTGTTTGCACATCATGAATACATGAGATTCGGAGATTTTCGATTGTTTCTTTATCGGCAATAGTTAGATTCAGTTGTTGAGTAGAATTAAGCCCTTGCTCTATATAAGCAGCGCAAATTGACACTGCTTCTTGACTTATGTTTGTTCGCTAGTTGTATTTTTCAATGCCAACTGATGTCGTTTAGCATCCAGCTTTCCCAACTCGTAGTTTTCCGGAGGTGTGACACATAATTGATGTATGGATTAAATCGTACCGTTGGTAAATACTGATGTCGTATGAAAAGACCTAGAATTTAAATTATTAAAAGTGAACCCCGGCAAGCAGTTACTTACGTTAGTGTGACGTATCGTAATACGCAAACCAATATTTTTATAAACAATGTCCATCCATTTGTTATCGTTAGATTTAGTCACTGATATTGGACTACCTACTTGGACGAAAAATAAGATTAAGTCTCTGTAAGTCGCTCCGTGTCGGCAGCAAAATACTCACTAGGACCATTATCACATTGATTTTGATAGTTACCAGTTACTGTGTATATGATTCCACCAGATAGATTCTTGAATGTAAACTCAAACTAAACATTAATGGGTTCTTGTATACGAACGAGTTAGCTATAAAATGCTTGAAAATGTACCTGTTCATTAAACCAGTATCTGTTTCCGTCGGCTACTCTAACTATTGCTGCAACGTATTTATTGTTCAATACCTGATACACTGACGGCATCTTACACCAATATTGGCGCCGCTGTCGCTTTCCTTCTGTCTTGTCAAGAAACATTAACAAATGAGGGTTGCCTTGAATATGACATACGCCCGTTATGTTACTGTTTGCTAAAAGACGAAAATTATTTAAGAGCAACGTATATTGTTTCCTCGAAAAAAGCAACAACTGATGGGGATAATTTTCTTTTCTGTCCATAAATTGTTTTGATAATTAAATTACCTGCAGAAAGAGGAGAAGGTTTTGTGTTTGCTACATAAAAGATACAAACAATAAGAATTTTAATTTTATCTTTTTATGCAAAAAAATTAATCAACCTTACGTTTGTTCACAAACATGACAGGAAATACAATAGCGGATGTCACCCAACAAAGGCCAAGTAAGATAAAACCCGCTATTATAAATTTCTTTCGTCCTTTTGAGAGCACTAACAGAAACAGAGTCAGAACAGTTTTGGATGAACTAGGGTCGATATAAGCTTACTTAGCGTCATTTTTGACGCTCCTTTTCACGGGATCGGGACCAAACCAAAAAGGTTTAGTCCCACAGACCTCTAGGTTCAGACGTTCAAGTTTAGCACTCAGTTTTTGATCATTTCACAAACAGCAGCTTGTGACATGTCGTGAAATTGACTTTTATATCCATGAGCTGACATGTTATTATGTATCGCTAAAAAGTTAAAATTATGTCAATGAGGTTAAAACTACCGGAGGAACTAATCTAAACTATTTAAAAAAATTTCTTTCGAACATATTTTTGGTTTGGATGCAATAATGTCTCGGTTTACTAGTTTATTTTAACCATTTTTTATTTAAATAGAAGCATCGCCAATCGGATGTTTACCCATTATAGGCTTTGCAAAAGAATGAGAAGAATGATTATGAGAAAGCAAGAATCAAAAATAGTAAAAAGCAGATAACATAATGTGCTGTGAAAAGACGGTAGGAAGAATGGCTGTGTGTGTGGAGGGAGAAGTTTTATGTAAAAGAAAAAATAGAAACATCAGACACGGTCAAACCGTTTTGTCTCCTCAACGTATTTTAAAATAACTCTGTAAATATCTTGCATCTGTTCAAATGAATGGTGGACCCAGGCAGACATTTTTTTAGACCAAACGCACTGCTAAACGCGTTTTTTTGCACTAAAAACGTGTCTGAACGCGTTTTCTTACAACTGAAACGTGTTTGGACGCGTTAATCGGTGATAAATGCGTTTAAATACGTTAGTTTGAAACGCGTTTGGCTGCGTCAGAAACTGACGCGCTAAACCGCTGTGAAAATAAACTCATTTTGCCGCGTTCAAATGACTAACACGTTCGAACGCATTCAAGTTAAGCGCGTTTGGGCGCGTTAATGTCTCCCAAACGCATTTGAACGCAACAGAAACAAATGCGTTTAGGTGCATTTACTAACTAACTAACGCATTTCGCATCGTAATTCGATACCTTTAACGCAGCTGAACGCGTTTGGAACCATTTCGTAGATGCTGCTGCTAAACGCGTTATAATCTAATGTGGTTCACCGGATTTAAAGCATATTCCTTCGCAGTATAGCGAAAAGAAGGTAGATAACCAAAGGGAGCAGGACCATAAGGCTGATCAAGAGGATCAAAGAAGACGCAACTTAGTGGAATTTACTTAGTGCAAGACCTCAAGCACCTTCTGCTTTCACATACAGTAGCGACCAAAAGTCTCGCCCCACTTTTGTGTTTTGCTTATTGTATGAAAAATAAACAACATTACTTCAATATAAT